CACCCGCCCCCGGCCCCGTGCTGTGCTCTGTGTGTGCCCTCCGTGTGTGTGTATGCCCTGTGTGTGCCGTTTCCACAGCGGAGGAAAGCAAGGCCTCGTGGGAATAACCTCAGTGTATGTACCCTGTCTCCGTCTCCGTCTTCCCTTCTCCTTCTCTATCTCTCCCTCGCTGCTTCGTTCTCTCTTCCTCATTCTCTCTCTCTCCCTCGCTCACTCCCTCTCCCTTGCTCTCTCTCTTTGTCTCCTTCTCTCCCTCGCTCCATCTCTCTCTCACTCCCTCTTGCTGTCTTTCTCTCGCTCTGCCTCTCTCTCTCTCTCCCTGCTCACCAGCGACATATTGATTTCCCCTCCTCTTCCCATCTCTCCATCTGGGTCCCTTCCTCCTCGCACATGCGGATCCCGCCGCTTTGCGTTGGCCTGCAGGATCCCTTCCTGCCCCCTGCATCGCATCCTTTTCCGCAGCGAGATTTGCAGCTTTTCTCTCGGTCGTGCAGCGTGTGCAGATCGCCCTTTCCGTCGGGAGCTCTGTCATGCATGCGCGACAGTGGACTTCCTGCGAGTGGCACCATCACCCTCTCGCTGTGCGTCTGTGTCGGACGCCAAGCGTGCAAGCTGGCATGCATGCTGCCTGTGCCAGGGTGCGTGTGTGCACTCCGGAGGGTGCGTGTGTGCACTCCGGAGGGTGCGTGTGTGCACTCCGGAGGGTGCGTGTGTGCATGCTAGCACTCCTGACTGCCCGGGGCCGTCTCTGGGGTCCTCATTCAGGGAAAGACGCTGTGGGACTCTGGAGAGATGGTGTCTGTAGGAGGACGCATGTGTGGGAGGGCTGGGCTGGATGGAGCCACTGGTTTCTGCGTGTCATGTCTGGATGCCTGGAGAGGCTGTGTAATAACGGGCGGGGGGGGGGGGCAAGGCTTGGAGGTAAGCAGCGATGTAGTAGGAGCTGAATGGGCACGTTAAGCATGACTGGCCCTCCTCTTCCTCATCTCTCTGCTGCCCCCTTTACAGACACACCTTCCGTTTCTCTCTCTCTGTATCTCCACTGCCCCCCTCCCCTGTCCCCCCCTTTTGCCCTGAGCAGGGCTGTGTGAATGAGTATGTGTGTGTGTGTGGTGGGGGGGGGAGGGGGTGGGGTTTGTTGGGTGTGGCCCAGGAAGACGGGCTGATGGTGGATGTCACCTGTATTGTGACCCTGACACTGTGACACAGAGGCAAACACTGACACATTCAGTCACGCAGCAGACATTCTGCTCACGTGAACACCACTAGGGGGCAGTATGAACATCCTTTTCAGCACTCCCCAGTCTCTGATTTTCTACGCCTGTGGAGAAGAAGATAGCAACCTCCCTCTCTCTCCCTTCTTTCTCCCTACCCCCTCTCGTAGACCATCACGGATGGCAGTCCCATGAAGCGCTCGGCCTCATCACTGGGCCACGGTCGCCAAGGTAAAGGCACACGGATGGACGACTATGCCACGGACAGGGCAATCCCAGAGGAGGGCCCACGTCATGGGCACCGGCGCCGGGAGCGAAGCCATCGTACCTCAGAGCGCTCGCTGAGCCGCTACACGGACGCTGACACAGGTCGGGGACTCATTAAACAGCTCATGTTTAATATTGTGTAAGACTGCGACTGTGCTGATGCTGCAGTGTCTTCCCACGGTACTGATGGGGTGTTGCCATGGTAATGACGGGGTGTGACCCGGCAGGGCTCGGAACAGACCTCAGCACCACCACGCAGTCAGGAGACTTGCCGCCTAAAGAAAAGGACCGAGACCGTGACCGCGAGCGAGACCGTGACCGCGAGCGGGACCGGGAACGTGGGCGACCCAAAGACAGGAAGCACCATCACCATCACCACCATCACCACGGATCTATGGACAAGGAGCGCTATGGGCAGGACAGGGGCGAGTATGGCCACCGTCCATCCCGGGAGAGAGAGCACCGCTGGTCCCGCTCGCCCAGTGAGGGTCGGGAGTGCATGACACACAGACAGGTGGGCTCCAGAGCGTCATCACATTAGTACACACTGACACTGCAAAGACGCACAGAATGGCACATTGACACTGCAAAGAGGCACAGAATGACACACTGACACTGCAAAGAGGCACAGAATGACACATTGACACTGCAAAGAGGCACTGAATGGCACACTGACACTCACACACAGAGGGACAGAATGACACATTGACACTGCAAAGAAGCACTGAATGGCACACTGACACTCACACACAGAGGGACAGAATGACACACTGATACTCACAAAGAGGCACAGAATGACACATTGACACTGCAAAGAGGCACAGAATGACACACTGGCACTCACACACAGAGGGAGAGAATGACACACTGATACTCACAAAGAGGCACAGAATGGCACATTGACACTGCAAAGAAGCACAGAATGACACAATGACACACACACAGAGGGAGAGAATGACACACTGATACTCACACACAGAGGGACAGGATGGCACACTGACACACACACACACACAGAGGGACAGGATGGCACACTGACACTCACACACAGAGGGACAGGATGGCACACTGACACACACACACACACAGAGGGACAGGATGGC